TTTTTTTTTTTTTTTGAAATAAACAGATCAGAAGTCAACCTGATGTATTCAATACTGTTACGGGCTACCCGCTTTCTTTTTTTTTTGTGTGTGTGTGTGTTAACTGAATATGATACTCACGGGCTACCCACTTTTTTCTTAAGCAAAAAAAAAACAAAAAAAAAGAGAAAAGGAGGTCTCAGTTTTTCAGGTGTTCAGAGTCTGACAGCTGCAAAAGGTCAAAAAAACGTTTTTTTTTGTTTTTTTTTGTTTTTTTTGGGCTGGTTTCTGTGAGAGCAAGACCATTTAGGGATGCCAGGCCCGGTTCCCAGCAGGTGCTGCCCCTCACCAATAGACAGGGGTTGACTTGTGAAAAAAAAAAAAAAGGAAAAAAAAAAGGAGCAAGAGTTCTGACAACAACAACAATTTCTGAGTGTCAGGTGTCAGATGTCAGAAAAAGTGTTGATGGTTTCTTTTGGAGAAGAACGAGGGCGGAAAAAAAAAAAAAAAAAAAAAAAGGGGGAGAAGGACGAGGGCGGAAGGGGGGGGGGGGGGGGGGGGGCGCTCATGCCAACGAATCTGTCGGTGGCGCTCGATAGGTCTCTGTCGATTGGTCGACCTCTCAGGGAAGTATGACTTGATGATGATTTTCCCTTTTTTTTGTTTGAAAGGGCGACGGCCTTGAGATGTCATCGCTGAACTGCTCGGCCCCAGGCAATTCAGAATTTTGAATTTTCTGGTCATCTGTTTGTGTATCTAGATTTGAACTTGGGTCTGATTCATATTTCAACAGTTTGTGGGTGTACCGACTGAGCTCAGCGAAGGGATTGAGGAGAGAGAGGAGAACCTTATCCAGTTGAGGGGAATAGTGATGCATGTATAGATGGCAGACTGCATGACACTACATACAAACAAAGGTATCTATCCACTTTCAGAGAACCTTATCCACTTTCAGAAAATCTTATCCACTTTCAGCTGAGAGAATCTTATCCACTTTCAGAAAATCTTATCCACCTTCAGAGAATCTTATCCACTTTCAGAAAATCTTATCCACTTTCAGAGAATCTTATCCACTTTCAGAAAATCTTATCCACCTTCAGAGAATCTTATCCACTTTCAGCAAATCTTATCCACTTCAGAGGATCCTATCTGGTTGCAGATAACCTTATGCAGTTTCAGAGAATCGTATCCACTTTCAGAGAATCTTATCCAGTTGCAGATAACCTTATCCACTTTCAGATAATCTTATCTTATCCACTTTACATTCTCTGATAGTGGATTAGATTTTCCGGTTGCAGAGAATCTTATCCACTTGCGGATTTGTCCACGGAGGGAGGGAGTTTGACTATTTACATCACCCCCAGGACAGACGTCAGGCAAGCCAGGGTGACAGGGTAGTTCAGCGTTAGCTTGGAAGAATGCTGTTTAGAATGAATGCACTATGCACTGTATGTAGAAGAATCGTAGCTGTCAATTGACGCATCCATCCGTTATATATATATATATATATATATATATATATATATATATATATATATATACAGCCTCCTGATGAGTCGGTGAAACTCCGACGAAACAGTTTGTCACAGCCCCTCGTTTGTTGTTCTCTTCTCTCTCTCTGCCTACGGCTTTACCGGGCAGTTCTATTTGACGATATATATATTAATAAACAGGTCCTTATGGTCTTGACAGCTTGGCCCCATTTCCGTTCTATTCCAGATTTACTTTTCCTCCTCCTTTTTCGATTTCAGATTAATGGATATGCCGGAGCGACGCGCAGATATTCCATTACGTGATCTAATCTAAGTGGCATTCATCAACGTGCATCAAGTTGTGTGCGTAACCCTTGCGCGCACCACGGGTCGTGATAGCCCATATGTGTATTGTAACTCATGCTTGCCGGTGATAAGCAATCAGACTGATGCCCCCCAGAATGGAAGGGGCTTGTGTTTTTTTTGAAAAAAACAAAAGGAATGGGACAATGCGCTGCGGGATGTGGCCTGGTAGAAACCATCCCTCGTTTCTTTGTGCGATGCCCTCCTCACACAGGCCAGCTGCAGTTTGGCCCCATGCTGGCACACGCTACGTTCCTCGGCCGGAGACGGAGGATGGATTGGAACAATGTAGAGTTCTGAGCGACCGAGTCTCATTGCCGTTAGCCACGTGCTTATTGAATATTTGTGCCTACCAAGTGTCACGTTCGGGGGGGGGGGGAAGTGCTTATTGAATATGTGTGGCTACCAAGTCATGTTCGGGGGAAAAAAAAAAAGGTCTGATTCCCGTTTTGTAACATTGTTTTTAGATGGTAGGAAGAGGAGAGTGGGAGTGGTAGGACCGTAGATGTACCCTAATTAGGAAACATGACCTGTAAGGGGGGTGATAGGGGGGTGATAGGGGGGTGTAAGAGGATAGAAGGGTTAAGGAGAGGGAAAGGGCAAAGAGGGCAGGGGATGGGAGATAGGGAGGGAGATCTAGGGGAAAAAAAAAAAGGGAAACTGCGAAAATAAGTGGAAAACCGGGAAAAGCAAGGGACGCATGGTGGGCAACTTGAAAACAGAGATTGGATACTGTCTGAGAGGCTGGTAGCACGCATGGTGGGCAAGCAAGGGACGAGGCAAGGTAGCAGGTGGTAAGCAGCATGTTCATTAAAAAAAAAAAAAAAAAAAAAAGGAGAAGTAGGATATAAGCAGGGGGAATGCAACCAGGAAGTCTGAGCCGGCTGGTATAAAGGGGTTATGGAGGAACCGGAACTAGTGGGAGGGATAGAAATTCCTAGGGGTAAGATGTATACAGTGAGAGACGGGTACTCGTAGCAACAAGCGTTTTTAAGTTTTTACCCTTTTTAAGATGTGTTGGCCATGACGAGGAGGCAATCGGCCTGAGAGACTGCTAGGTACGCTTCCCCCCGACCCCCCCACCCCCTGCGCCCTCCCGCCTTCTGCTGCTTGAATGGGTGCTGCTAGTAACCTTCCCGGCCAGCAGAAGCACCGCCGCGGAGGCTATGGTTTGGGGGGTGGGATGGCCCGCAGCAGTTCCTCACCTTAATAGGTGGCTCGTACGGCAAGGGTCTGGCTGATTTCTATCTCTACAACTCTCTTGCTTGAACTCATGCTTGCCGGCGTTGAGCAACCGGACTGACGCCCCCCAGAATTTTTTTTTTTTTTTTTTTTTTTTTTGGACACCCCCCAGAATAGATGGGGCTTTCTGTGTTTTCGCAACTTTTTGGGAAAAAAAAAAAAAAGGGAATGGAACAATGCACAGAGATTTAGGATGCCCACTGGGGATTGCACTGAAAGGATCGATCAGTCGAACCTGATGGTGACCTGTGGATTACAACGGACGTCTGGGTACAGGGGTTGTTTCCAGGCCATTGTAGGAGCCCAGGAGGACAGGAGGATAAGCCAGGGGCCTCAGTGGAACTTCCCCCCCCCCCCCCCCCCCCCCCCCCCCCCCCCCCCCCCCCCTGCAGAGCGTCTCAAGCAGCAGTGGTTTTAGCCTGGTCTTGTATTTTGTCTTGCTTTCTTTGCTGAAAACTGGTTTGCCCGTAAGGAGTAACTAGACTGCTGCCCCGAATACAATGTACGGTCATTGTAGCTGAATTTGTTGTACCTTTCAGTCTAAATTCAGCTATAATGACCGTACATTGTATTTGAGGGAAGACTGTAGACTGCTGCCCCCCGGAATAGATGGGCCCTTTGGTTTGGGAAAAAGTAAATGCCGGTACCGAGTAACTGGACTGCTGCTCCCCGGAGAGAGAGAGAGAGAGAGAGAGAGAGAGAGAGAGAGAGAGAGAGAGAGAGAGAGAGAGAGAGAGAGAGAGRRAGTGTGTGAGGACACATTGGTGATAGCTTCAGTACAACACAGCTGTAATCCAAAAGCGCACCTCTCAGTGGGGGGGAGGGAGACATGCACAAAGACTTGAAGACAATTCTTATATAACTCTTCAGTGGACAGAACAAATGTGGGAAGGGAGAAAAACTGAAAAAACACAAGTAAGAGACAGGAACAAAATGAAGTACAAAAGACGACACCGATAGAGACAGACTGTTCCATTGGACTTGCACCAACTCGTCA